TTAGGTCCTTATTTTCAGCAAGGCTACTCTGTGCTAAGCGTTGCCTGTTGGGTAACGGAACCTCTTGACAAATTATTTATTGAACACAATAGTAAAATATAGGGCTTTGTAAAAATAACCTATACCTTTTTTCTAAATATACTATAGTTTGAAATTTTATATTTACATTTGACAAGATCTTAATTTCAAAGATCCTAAAATAGTTTTTTAAGATCCTAAAATAGGTGAGACTTTTACTAGTAGCAATGCCGAAGGTTTTACCGTGTAAGACTTCATACAATATGCAACAAAGTTCATAAAGAATACAGAATAGGTTCAATATTGTAATATAAAAACTTTCGTATTTATATTCAACAAGACCTTAGCTTCAAAGATCCCAAATAGTTTTTCAAGATCCCAAAACGGGCATAACTCTTACTAGTAACAATGCTGAAAGGTTTGTCACGTAAAAATATGAAACTTTGCCAGATAACTTATTTATACACTTTTTGCAAATATAATGGTTTAATACTAAAAAATACTAATTTTGATTATCTTTTTACTTCATAATAATGTTGATTCTTACTAATTTCTGAAAATTATCATAGTCTATTCAATCTTCATCAAAATTAGTTGCCAAAAAAAAAAGTCAAACGTTGTAGATAAGTTTAATTTTGAAGAACTTTACAGTATTGTTAAACAAATTAATTTAACTATAATGATTCTAATACTTTATCTATTATATTATGTGTGTTAATTAATTTATAGAAGCTAATCGACAAGTAAACAGGTGTAGATTCAAATGCGTATATGGCATTGTTTTTAATTTAATATAGACTAAACACTTTAGTACAATAGTAAAGATGATGATGACAAAAAAAATAAAATAGAATTGCTGTTTTAAATATATAATTAATTAATTAAAAATAAGCTTCACTAATAATAAAAAAAATAAAACTTGATAATAAATAATTTATTTGTATATTGATCTTTATTGATTTGATTGGTTGGCGATCACATTTTTGATCACGTTTTGATCGACATATCACGCAAATATCACATTTATTGATCTGATTGGTTATTTGTCATGTTTTGATCATCATATGTAACAAAATCGGATTTATGTGACTCTGTCCGTGCTGCGGACCCTTATGTCAAGCAAATTCCGGGCTGAAGATCACTGAAGATCACTTCCGATCATAAATTTCGTAGATCGGATCCAATAAAATTACAGGATCTTGTGTAGCAAAACAAACGCAAAAAATATAAGAAAATGCAAAAAATTGTAAATAACGCAAAATTTTACTATGCTAACTAACTTCTGACCTTTAAATAAGAGTTTTCGGCACGAAATTTTAGTTATAGGGAGCATTTTTATATACTAAATATATAGTAAATTTTTGATATACTACGACCCAAAATTTTTAGGCCGGAAATGATAATAGCCCGAAATTTGCTTGACATAAGGATACCCTCGGTCGGTGCTGCTGGGGTAGTTATGATCATCAACCATGACTAGAACGTAACTGCAAGGGCGAAAGTAAGAATATTTCTGCAAATGTAAATGATTTGATTTATTTTTTTAGGAGTAGGTATCATATCAAAGATTTAATAAACTTTTTAAATAGAGTTAGACAAAAATAACATAAAAAAATAACATATATAACAATAATATGCTTTTGTATATCGATATATCAAATTAAAATTTGGTTTGTAATTCTATTTAAGCTTTTTCTGGACCTTAAAAATCCACTTAAATGAATTTAGAATTAACAAAATTGATTCAAATACCTTACTACCACTTATATTTTAAATTTGGTAAAACTATAATTAAAATCTTTCTTTTAAATAAAAATCATAAAATTCAACTCTTGTTAAATAAATCTGTAAATAGAAGAAACTTCTTTTTTTTCTTTTGCGGAATTTGTGTTGGTATTTGTGATATGGATCGAGTAATATGTATAATACCTTCATTCACTCCTTGAAGATTTGTATCACCCTCAAAATTGACATCGAGGATTTTTAGATCTGGTACGAAATTTTTTGTTAGTTCGGCAAAATTTTCATTAAATTTTGTCATATTATTAAAAGAAATTTCAAGTTCATGAGTTATTTGAGGACATGATCTCATTATTCTAGGGAACGTTTCTGTTATTTTTTGCTTTTCATTATGAGACAAGGATTTTATAGTGCAGTTAAGTATCTGCTTAATAGTGATACGAAACCCTTTCATATTTTTTGTAAGACCCTATTTGCCTGAATGAGGTTGTCGTTCTGGACACATTCTTTGATCAATTTTATCATTAATATTTTTATATGGCCATATCACCCCTTTTATTGGATCGCTTACTACTCTCATTTCCCACTCACATATAGTTGCCTTTGTACTATCACTGTATGTCAAATTGCGGCTTACGCTTGCACCAATACTTTGCGATGAAAGATTAAGCTGAAAATTACTATTCGTTGTATGACCTGTCGAAGCTTCATATCTTTCTGGTCCAATTCGCAGTGGACTATATTCATTCTTTAATATAAAAGAAGCTAATGTATTATTTGCACTATTATTTGAGTTACTATTTGTGCTATTACTTGTATCAGAAAGTGGAGAAACCTCGATTATGATAGATTCAAGATAGAAACCAATAAACCAATTCTGAAGTGACTGACACTTTTTATTGAGCATCTCGCTTGCTCCACACGCAATCAATTCAATACTAAAATTTAGGGCACTTTTATTATTTATCACATTATCTATATTTGCCTTGATAAGGGCGTTGATTTCAAAACTCTGATAATTTTTACCTTCGTCAGCCTTTGCTATAGAAATGACTTGAATGACCTGATCATCTTCGACACTATTTTTCCCATTACTTCCATCTCCTCCACCATTTCCACCATTTTCATTTCCATTATTTGTATTTTCATTACTATTTCCATTTCCACCATTTTCGTTTCGCCTATTTGTATTTTCATTACTATTTCCATTTCCACCATTTTCATTTCCATTATTTTCAATATTTGTATTTTCTCCATTATTTTCATTATTTTCACTGTATTCATTATTTTTGTTTCCTTCACTATTTTGATTGTTTTCACCACTCTGCTTTTCTTTTCTACTTTGATTGCCATCTTTCCCGCTATCTTATATGTTAATATTATTGTCACTTAGAACACTATTTTGAATTATGGCATGGCTATCTATATCTTCATTTCTAACTTCTACTATTTCATACATGTTATCAAATAAATCTGAAAGTTTTTCAATCAATAATTTGTCAAGAGGTTCCGTTACCCAACAGGCAACGCTTAGCACAGAGTAGCCTTGCTGAAAATAAGGACCTAA